GACCGGTTTTAAAGGGTTAACTCGAATGACAAAAAGGGCTGATGTGTCCTATGTTTTTGGTTTTATAGAAGACGACTACAAAAAAAGAAAAAGGTGAAATATCTGAGTTAAAACGATCCAAATTTTGTGTTAAAAAAAATGACACAAACTGCATTATAAAGCAGGAAAGGCACCATACAGCTGTAGTAAGTATTTGATTTTACACTTTGGTTAGTGGTGTAGTGGTTAACACCTTCACCCAGTTTGAAACTGGGAGGTCAGACTGGCCCATAAATAGGACGGTTGTATAAGGAAGAGCATCCGACATGTAATCTGCTCCAAATCCACCACGTGGACTCGTTTGCTTTGGCACCCGACTCGGAAATAAGGGACAAAAGTCCCTGACACGGTGCCCTTTGATAAAAGCCTTTTACCTCCTGTATAATCTGCACCATCTGATTTTGCAAACCGCTCTTTGTAGACTTGTTTTTTCTTTTGCCTTAGCACACAATAAAAAAAGAAAAAACTGCCACTATAGCAGCTTCTGCTGTGTGAAGAAAACATTAAACCCTCTTTTCATAACTGGCTTTTCAAGGACTCACTCAAGTGTGATTTTTATGTTAGAAACAGAGCCGTAAGGAGCCCTCCAAGTCTGTCTTTTCGCATTCTCATAAGCATTACTCACTCTCTCCCCATGCAGATCCGCAGCGGTGAAAACGCGGCTAACTTGGCCAACGAATTAGCCAAGCACACCAAAGGACCCATCTTTGCCGGGGACGTCAGCTCCTCAGTGCGCCTGATGGAGCAGCTGGTGGACATCCTGGATGCGCAGCTGCAGGAGCTCAGACCCAGCGAGAAGGATTCTGCAGGACGGAGCTTCAACAAGGTAACCAGATCCTCCACATATTAAAAAATATTACCTCGACTTTCTCCCCAGCTCCCTCTTACTGAATGACTCTGCATAATTTACATCGCTTTTATGCTTTACTGATAACTTAATACTTCTTTAATACAATAGCTGCGTTTGATTAGATTTTTTCCACCAGATTACGTCAGCAGTCTGCTTTTCTGTGCTTTTCACGTCAAGTTCGGCCGAGCTGGGAAACAAACAGAAAAGCAGATTTTTGAGCAGATGTGTATTCAGTGTCATGAGTGTGATCCACAGTGCTTTCGTGCGTCAGACCATTTGAGACTGGTTTCTCCATCCAGCGCTCAGCCCTTTATTATTTCTACCGATTCTTTACTCAAGCTCGTGAACTTGTGCAAATTACATGTCTCTATTTTGTATCTGTTCTTTTCCTTCTCAAACAAAAAAAGCTCCAAAAGCGAGAAAGGACATGCAGGGCATACATGAAGGTACTGAAGCAAAGCTTCTGCCCACTCTGCTTGCAGCTGCTGTCCCCTCTATTCCTGTACTACCGTACTGTATATGCCCTAGCCCAAGTTCAGCAGCATGCACCCTCTCCACTGTCGTGTACACCCTCCTCCCTGTGCTTCCTGCTTTTTTGAGTAATTGCTTCACACAAAAACGCAGTTGTATTCAAAGTGCTTCCTAAGTCAAAGAGAAGTCATCTCCGATTACTTAGGTGGCTTCTTTTTGTAACTGTGTACGTGTCTTCTGTTTTTTTCTCCTGTATGCATCGACAGCTATGGTGTATTTTGTCGTTTCTTCCGTTTGTCCCTGTTATTATTTTCTGTGTTTACTCAAGACTGCACGCCTACATGAATAACTACAACTCAAGCAGACATCCTCTTCTTACATCCCCCTCATTACTCATTTGATGAAGGATTTGCTGCTTTGTAGTGATGCATCAAAACCCTTTCTACGGATCATTTCCTGACCATTCACAGCCTGCGAAGGGAAAATCCACAAGGGCGCAGGTTTGAGGTCGTTAGAGTAATGCGTTTCATAAATTAAAGGTACAAATCTATAGCTCGAGCTGGTTAATAGGGTTAATGCAGGTCAAACGCGCTTTTTCTCCTTTCTTCCCCAAATGCTTTCACAGCGTTGGGTTCGCGCATCACAGTATTTGGGCTGTATATATATCCCCCCCCCACCATCAGGGACATCGGTGTCCTCCACCTGCCACCAAAGTCACCCCCCTCAATCCATCTCTCCTTCGGGAGGGTGTTAAAATGGATCAAGCTAATTAGCCAGTCAACGGCCGCGCGCTCGTAAAGGAGGCAGGAAACTGGAAAAAAGCAAAAAGCACACACGTAGTCATATCGCCGCCGCCGCCGCGTCGCATCATCGTTTCGCTTTTTAAAGTCAAAACATTTCGATTTGACTTCCGAGAGGTTACGTCGATGTAAATTACAGCAGAGAGAGAGGATCAGGGATTGTTGAGTCATCAGTATCTGACATCTGACGCAACTTCACATTAGCCCCCCCGCCCCGCCCTTTCCTCCAGCCGTCGCCAGCATTGATTACCTGATTAGACGCATTGATTTTATTATTTCCTGAAGAAAACTCTGCATCGTTTCTGCCCAATTTCTCCTCCGTGTTTCCTGAGCTGTTAGACGGCAAAAAAGATGTAAAGTAAACAAGGTTTGCGTTCACGGGACGAACAACAGTTTACAAACTGCACACTTTTGGTCGACTCTTCGAGCGCCTTTGCAGGGCGGCGTAATTACTGCTTCTACAGTAAAGTGTGTGAAGAAAAGGAAAGTTGCTGCCCGCTGAACTTTCCAATTAGAGAGCTTTAATTGAGATCAGCCACGGAGACTTTGGCTTTCACCAGGCCGTCTCTTAATATCCTGTTATCAGACAGACGTGATAGGCTCGGCACGCTGTGACCCAGAGCGTCGACGCAACATCCTTGAGAAAGAGCCCGAGCATCGCTGAAGCGCCTCGTCTCCTCCGCTCTTTCAGCAGATCTTCCTTCATTAACATCACATTAAAAACATTTTTTATTTTACGTTATTTTGAAACGTGTTGCAAGTATATGTTTACATCACATACACACCTGAAAAACAGACGTCCTTTCAGCTTCCTCACTTGTGTCCATTCCACTCCAACTCACATCAGCGTCTGCATGTCACAGCTCATCCACGGAAAACGTCGCTTGTTTCCAGACACTCAAGAATCTGTTTTCTGTGGATTTGTTTCGGTTATCTGCTTTAACGCAGGCCATCGTGGACACGGTGGATAACCTCCTGCGACCCGAGGCGCTCAAGTCCTGGCAGGACATGAACAGCACCGAGCAAACTCACGCAGCCACCATGTTACTGGATACTCTGGAGGAAGGGGCCTTCGTCCTCGCCGACAACCTCATGGAACCGGCTATCGTCAAAGTCCCGGCAGATAATATAAGTGAGTAAAGCCGAGTTTGCGGTAAGCAAATGACAAGCGTCCGTGATTGATGCGTGCCTCGGCTAATTTGATCGCGCTCAGTTCATTGAAAGAGTAACTCCTGTGATAGCGAAACAAGGCCGCCTCGTAAAAAAGGAGTTTGTTTTCATAATAAGGGTTTAAACCTCGGGGGAAGTGAAAAACAAGGCGTATTAGGTTTAACAAGTCGCTTACTGACAAAGTGATGAATATCAGACAATTAAATAGACTGGATTCTCTGATTGCGCACGCTTACTTTATAAATGTGTGCGTCTAGACCTTGTAACTCTATACACTAATGTGAACATTAGCCTGCTGTGCAGGCAGAAAAAAGGACATTGTTTATCCAAAGCTCCTCTTCCTTCGCTCATTTTCTTCAGCTGATCGTACGAGAGAGTCCTTTGGTTTCTCTCAGCTCCGCTTTATTCATATTAGTGGGAGCAGCACTGGGATGAAACAATCACTGTGTGAGTGACGCGCACTGTCACTAACATTTAGAGATGTTTAAACAGCTTGTGTAGAAATGTCAGGAAGAACTCGTCTTCCCTTCTGCTTTTTTTCTCTTTTGTCTCTTTGAAACGCTCTGAATTGACCGATTTTCTGTTTTTCTGTTGTTCTCTAACTCATCCCCTGCCTCTCTGCTCTTGGCAGTCCTGGAAGTGTATGTTCTCAGCACGGATGGCCAGGTCCAGGATTTCAAATTTCCACAGATCGGCAAAAGCGGCATCTCGATCCAGCTCTCAGCCAATACCGTTAAGCTCAACAGTCGGAATGGTGAGTTAAAAAAGCGAGAGGAGCTCGGTCACAGTTAACTCTGCGAACTCGGAGACAAACAAAAGTGATTCTTTAGCATAGGAGAAACTGTGAAATGGATTCATTTTCAAGAGACTGAGTGCAGTTTATCTCAAAAACTCCAAAGCGCTGCGATTTTAAACCTACAAATAAGCCCATTTGTACAAGTTTTCAGTGAATATATCTCCCTTCTCTCATCATGCAGATAATTGCTTGAATAATTTAAATTCAGCTACATTAAAATAAACGGAGTCAGTTTTAGAGCTTTCTTGTCCTCTGGTCTTCTGCATATTTTGTCTTCACTTCTTTTACCCCCCTATTGTTTTAATCGCGTCGCTCTTTCGCCCCGCAGGAGTTGCCAAACTGGTTTTCATGCTCTACAAAAACCTGAGCCAGTTCCTCAGCACGGAAAACGCCACCATCAAGATGGACAACGACGCCTACGCCCGCAACGTCTCGGTAGCCGTCAACTCGGACATCATCGCCGCCTCAATCAACAAAGAGTCCAGCCGCGTGTTCATTAACGACCCCGTGATTTTCACCCTGGAGCACATTGATGTAAGTCCGCCTGCAGGAACAAATGGACGGGTCATATTAAAAACACCAGGAGGGAAGATGTGCAATTTGAATTGTAAATGTCTGGCTAGGTCAGTCGGCAGTTTATTTAAGTCATTGAACATCAAATTAAAGGAGTCTTTAGAACCTAAGTGAATTCTTAATGAAAACTAATTCTTTAATCAACATTGGGATATAAATGATACCCATTTTCTTTTATAGTGAGGGAAATTAACTCCTAGATTAGCCCTACAATCTAGGATGAAATTACTGGAGCACCAATTATCTTTCGTCTTTTAAAGTTGTCACTGGAGTTCCCAGAGGGCCGCGCGTGACTCCATTCTTTATCAGAGAAATTGTGCAATTCCAAAGACGCGCCGTCAAACAATTACGCTTCTCTGTTATTAAGGCCTCGTAGACGCGACCATGCTTCGGTTGATTTGGCAAGCATGTGCCAAATGAGATACAACATATGAATTGCTTCATAAGAGCTGTGAAGTGAAAAATCCTCATCCATATCAGCGCAGAAAAATACTTTCTATGAGTGGGGGGTAAATGGCCTCTGTGTTCTACATGTGCTTCAATTTCAGGAAGTCAATTATTTGGACACTTAACCATATCTCTTGTTATCTGCAGATGGAGCACTACTTCAACTCCAATTGCTCCTTCTGGAATTACTCTGAGAGAAGCATGATGGGCTACTGGTCCACCCAAGGCTGCAAACTCCTGGACTCCAATAAAACACACACCACCTGCTCATGCAGCCATCTCACCAACTTCGCCATCCTCATGGCGCACCGCGAAACCTCAGTGAGTCCAGTCTTCTCTCGTGCCCACCCGTAGCATTGGAGCATTTTCGATTAAATCAAGATCAGACCCTTAACGTTTTAGTTTCTAGGCTTGCATATTAAAGCAGCTAAAGATTGCAGCTATCACGGTGCGGTTTAATGAGTCGATCTGTGCGCACTGGCTTGTTTTTGCCAGACTTTTTTCATCTTTCAGCTTGATTTGAGAGCATCTTCTGCTAATTTTACACCCAGAAGCAAACGATAATGAAATAACCACAATTATTGAAAGAGAAAGATTTTTTTAATCAATATCATCACCACGGGTGCCCGCAGATATGTCACGGGATAGTGACGTAGTCGAAAATATGAAATTGGTTACTCTGTGTCCTTTTGTTGCTCCTGATTGATCTCATTATGCTGGGATGTAAATGTAAGCAGTTATTCCTTCGTTCCTAGCGTTATCTCCCTCTTTGTCGTTTCCCCCTTTCGCTTCAGGCCAGCAGTGAAGTGCACGAGCTGCTCCTGACCGTCATCACTCGCGTCGGCATCGTGGTGTCCCTCGTCTGCCTCATGATCAGCATCTTCACCTTCTGTTTCTTCCGGGGCCTGCAGAGCGATCGCAACACCATCCACAAGAACTTGTGCATTAATCTCTTCATTGCAGAGTTAATATTCCTAATTGGTATCGATATGACGGAACCCAGGGTAAGCCGGAATGATTTCACCCTATTGATTTGGTTTTGATTCATCCTCTCTCTCCTTATCGCCTCTCAGCCCTCGCACAAAAGACCCTTCCAGAGTAAAATGGATAAGACTTTAAGCATTGTTTGTTTCTAGCCTTCCCCACTTGTCCCTGACACGACACGAGTGGAACAACGCCATTAATATAGATTACTAAAGGGACATGTCTTCCGCTTGATGGGTCTTTTTCCCTCTTCGAAGCTGCAGCGACGATCGCTGAGCAACGGCAGCTTTTTCCACAGCTCCAACGAATTAAATCTCCTAACTCTAACCCCACAATACTAATGGCATTTAAATTTGTACTGTGCTGATGGAAAGCTAAACCTGTGCTTAGTCAGAGCCCATGTGGTGAATGAATATTCATTGTTTTTCTCTGCTGTTGAACGAGACGCCCTGAAACGACGAACGCCGTCTTTTCAGGCAGCTTCAATAAAAGATGGAGCACACGATGTGCAATTTTCACTAAAAAAACAGCGACAACAACAAAAGTCAGATGGAAACGACACGTGTCGTCTTGATGTCGAAAGATTATTTAATAAATTTCACTGTTTCTTGTTCTTTGATTGTCTGAATCTGTTGTTTTTCTGTCGCTCTCAGATTGGCTGCGCCATCATCGCGGGGATCCTGCACTTCTTCTTCCTAGCCTCCTTCTCCTGGATGTGTCTTGAGGGAGTCCAGCTGTACCTCATGCTCGTGGAAGTCTTTGAGAGCGAATACTCGCGGAAAAAGTATTACTACGTGTCTGGTTACCTCTTCCCCGCCATCGTTGTCGGCGTCTCAGCAGCTATCGACTACAGGAGCTACGGGACCAAGAAAGCGTGAGCGCAGCTTCTTTTCTCTCTGAAAACATTCTTGGAAATGCAGAGCAGACATGCTGGATGCTGCACCGTGTGGCTTTACCTGCTGTGGCTGCGTGTGGCAGATTTCTGAAAAGAAATCCGCTCGTCATTTCTGCCAGCACCTCATGTGCATCCCTGGAGACTACACCAAAACATTTGAGCGCCTTTTGCCAGGGATGGGCAGCTGTTCAATTTTTTATGTCATTTGAAAGTGGCTGACAGACTCAACGCTGCGGTTTCAGGGGAGGCTGCAGCTACATTAATGCCTTTCTGTTCAAAGACCCTCCTGTGACCTCTTGTTTGTAAATGCTGTCTTAAAGAGGAGAGCGCAGTGCAGGGGGAAAAAGCCTTTTACGTAGATTAATGGCTATATCACAGCTAAGACGACGCCATTAAGAGGGGCTCGGTTTGCTTCTTCTCCTGTTGTGTCC